TCAATTGTTAAATGCGAGAATGACCGGCAGTGGGTGATAGAACCTTATGTTCCCCTCCTAACACCTCCTTTCAACCATGATCTTCCCCTTCCACTGACTCAACACATCTCAAAAAACTCTTCCGAAAACGTCTTTCTAGCTTCCGTTACCGAACATACACTTCATACAGGTGAGTTCTACTTTCCTTACTATTGGTAGTGAAACTATGAATCTTTATTAAAATAGCTTCCCAATTCCAAATCATTAAAACGGAAACTTTAAAATCATTTAAGTAAATTTAAAAAACTTCAAAAAAATTCCCTAATGAGAGATCTACCGAGACCCTGATTACTAGGGATAAGAATCTCTTCTGTTCGTTCTTAACAATTGCATATTTTAAAAAAACTCATTTTGGACGGTTAATATGTTAATCATTGCAACAATTCTACTGAAATTATAGTTAATGGTGATTTGTAATTAAAATGAGTTTTATTGTAATCGACACATAGATTGGGTATGGGTATATCCAGAAGATGGAAGTGTAGCAACGGCCCGAAACGTGGATTTGAAGACTGCCAAATAAGCTGTTTAATTTTAACTTTAATTTGATATGGAATAAATTAATTTATAAAACTTTTGTCGCCTAAAATTTTAAAGGGATCTCTTGTTTTTGTTTAAGTTTGTATATAAATTGACTGTTTTAGAAAGACATTTTCAAAAGTTTCCTCATAATCCTTATCTTATCTTCACGTGGAGGAATTGACCGCCGAGAACATAGAGAACGGCCTATTTCAATAACTCATTCCCCCACTTAACACGTCATAGAGCCTTAAACAACGAGTGTTAAGTTAATTTATTACGATCACTTTAAAATTCCACATTTTTATAACAAGTAGCCAAAAGCAGTTTGAACTTAGCCTGCATAAGCTCTGTGAACCACCTCTCGGACCGGGCCTCTCTCTGACCACAAGGCATATGGTAGAGAAGCACGGTTTTAGATGAGGATTCGATCCGACGCAAAAAAAGTTGCCACCTCTTCGGGTTTCCACCCGGAGACTTCGGGGTTTCGTGACCAATCTCCGGGCGTTCGGGTTTACTAACTTTTCATCTCCGGGCCATGCACAATATGAATGTACTACGCGTCAAAATGTTTCAATTTATGGGAAACATTTGGTCCGATTTGAGAAACAGGGATGGAGTCGAATAGTCAAAGCAGAAACTTGCTTTTTACAAAACAAACTATGATATGTCTTGCGCCGAATTGCACAAATTCATTAACAATAAGAAGCAAGTATGCTTTACTAAAAGGAAAGCCGCTTCAAATGAGGAAATATACTTGAGAAAAAAGTTAGTTTTTAAAAAATAAATATTACACAAAAGTAATATAAGCAGATTCTGTTTTTAATTAATCATTAAATGTAATTTATTTGATTGTTTCTAAACTAATAAATTAAAATTATGATTGTACAATTAAAAAATATGCGTAAATGTTAAATACAACATACCCTACCCTTCCCCCCGCTCATGAAAATCTTCGGGTGAGTAATGTGTCAATAGGTGGCTACTCTTAGACGCAAGTCATATGAACACCCCGGCCAGGACTGTACATTGCTTTAAAAATCACGGTTAAATCGACATCTGATATTCAGAAATGGAAAACATGCTTGTATGTTTCGTTTAGGATATTTCTATCTATTAAAGAAATAAAATTCGCGAATTCAAGTACACAAGATCACCCAACAATGAAAAAGGTCTGAGATCCCAAATTGGATACCATGGCAGTTGATGGGATATCGAGGAACTATTAATGACCACTTTGAATTGATTTCCACGTAATTTATAATTTGTATTAAAGCAGAAGTCACATTCATTTCGCGCGTGGTGTTGTAAGAGAGTATAGCTTACTGACCAGAAGAAAATAAACATTTCAGTATTTGCTTTCAGGGTCGTTGAGAAACTGGTAATTCCTTTGTTTTGGCCTGCCAACATGTGACAGAGAGCTATCTTTCATTTCCGAGAATCTTTCTTGCGTTATCTCTTTTAAGACTCGCAGTACAAGGAACGATTTCAGTCCGGGGTATTTGCTATGACAAGCACGGTCTAGTGTACTAGAAGAACAATTCGGAATTTTCAGAACCAAATAGTGTAATTTTAGTGTGATTACAGATGCGATATGGTTGAAAAAGTGTGACGAAAATCTAACAAAACCAAATATTTATTTTTGTTCCTCACGATGGATAAAATACTTTTGTTTATTGCGCAGTTGTGTTTCGTAATACATGCATCAGGTAAATTAACTCAAATGTATTTTTCAGTATCAGAATATTGGAAACATTACGTACGAGAAACAAAAGTGTTGTGTATATTCGTTTATATTTTTAAAATATTTTAAATCACGAAATATTTTTCTTTAGAAATACCTGATGTCAGTATGACCTTCAAAATGTCAATTTCTTCCGACGGTAAGTTAATCATTCTTCTGAGCGAATAGTATAGTTTTTTTATCGATTGACACTTCAGTGTTACAAGCAAGTAGCTTCAACTTTCTTCAACACATAGCTTCAACTTTCATGAGTTATATGAACAAAATATAGAATGCTGAATGCAATTGATTTATTATGAACCTTTGTATAAATTGGAGTTTTATTGCTTTCAGTCAAGCCAGTCAACGTTGAAATCCATTCAATGTCAAATTCTCTCGGAAAATTATTTCTTCTTGATAATCAGACAATTATTGGTGAGTATTTAACTTTTTAATTTTCTTCTAATTAATTTCAAACTCAGGCTGTTAAAGTATTTTGATCATTTCTAATTTAATAAATTATTTAAAGTGTTTTTGTTGTAAACACATTTCAATATCAGCAATAAGAAAATTTTCAGAAGATCTGAAAACAAATTTGTTAATATTTCGGGAAAGTATTTTTTTTATTTTTGTCACTTAATAGAACTGTAGCAATGAACAAAAACATGTGCAAATATTACTATCTTAATTATTATTGTTTGACGTCTGTCCGCCTTCCTTTCTGCCTGTGAACAAGGCTAACGGCTAAACCGCTAAGCTGATTTTCATCAAACTTTATATTCTCCAATCGATCTGGCTGACAACACGGCCCAATGAATTTGAAACCGGTATTTTAATTTTGAGAGGTTCTCTACGTGAAGCCCTGGGACATTCTCAAAATTTTCAAAAGAAGTTTCATTAAATTTTGTTCTTGGATAGTCTGAAGGACGTTTAAGAGAATCAGGTAGGCATCATGTTGGTTAAAAACTCTCATTTTTCGAAAATTGAAAAAAATCAAAGAATTATCGATGTCTTCCTACAACTAAAATATTAAAGATAGAGATTTTTCCCTTAACGAAATCTATTCCTTAATGATAGATTTTGAAATAAAGTCATGTACAGTTTTTCGGAAATTTGAGTATTTTTCGCGTAATATTGCGTGAAATATAAGCAATTTTTAATTTTTCTTTAAACAATGTTTTTCTCAAAAAACGGATTTATTGCTTTTTATGAAATTTTGTTGGTTAATAGTGTGAATGACATTTAAGAAAATGGTGCAGGTCTCATGTTAGTTGAAAACTGATTTTTTGGCGTCTTCCTACAACTACAAATATGTTGATACATTTTTTCTTCACGAAATGTGTTCACCGAAAACATATTTTTCAAATTAGGATATGATAACTTTTTCGAACCTATGTATATTTTTGGAGTAATTTGGCGTCAAAGTTAGTCGATCGCTCTGAAATACTGCGCTTGTGGATCGTAATTTTAGATGTTTTGAAACATTGGATGCTACGTAAATTAGAATGTGTATAGTAATTCATATTTATTTGCTCGTTTCTTACATTGCAACTTCTGATATACGTTTACAAATTAATCTTTTAGAAATTATTTAAAACCTCTTTGAAATAAAGATTTCTAGCCTTTAGTCGTCCGCTCCCAATTTACGAAGTTGGATGTTACGCAAGTTAGAATTTGTTATTATATATATTTAATTTTTTTATTATTAATATTATATTTATGTTAATTCAATTTAAATTGCGTCTTTCAATTGTGTTAAATGTGAAAACGAATAGATGAGAGGTCATTTTTCGTTGTTGTTACCCATTGCTGTAACGGCTGTGGTGACGGCTGCTTTTCATTCGCGGAAATAAAAACGAATACTTTAATATATTTGCAGAATATTACAATACCATAGTGTTTAATAATTACTATTATATATTTTTCAATCTGTGTGTTTTCCAAAGCTATCAGTATCGTGCTATTTATTATTATTATTATTATTATTATTATTATTATTATTATTATTGTTGTTGTTGTTATTCATTACTTTCTTGCATTCTGTTCATTTTTCGCACCAAATGTTCTACGACTTCAAATGAGTTTTTCAAAAAATAATTCGGAGATAAATTGTGGTATAAATAGAATTACATAACCATTACTAAAGGTAAGAAAGACGTGCTGTTTTAGCACCACATGTTATATATAGAAATTAGGGTTGCTACAACAGCACATAGATTATCCTATATTTGGTAATAAAACTTGATAATGTAGCATGGTGGACATATTTCCAGCACAGTGGTGTGTACCACTGTGTGTAATGCATTGACCGCATGGATGTACAATATTTGAACCTCAATTCTATGTGGCCATTTTTTTTCTCAATGAAAAGGACGACAAAAAATTAAGAAGACAGTGTTAATTAAGGAGGCTGTTGTATACAGCGTTGCGAGTTGTATCGAAAAATTTCTATGTGCTACTAATTCATAAACTTTTGATACATAAATATAAACTCCATCGCCCGGTTTATCTATAAAGATAACAGATAAGGACTGCAATTGCAATTGCTGATCTATTAGATATGGCATCTTCTGACAATAAGGGAAATCTAACCTCCAACGGAACCAACAACACTCAAGAACGTGCATCGGAGATGAATACCAAAACAACACCAGAAGAATCTTCATTCAACAATTCATCCACTACCTACACTAGCACCAGTAATGAACACACCCAAGTAAGAAAATTTTATTCTAATGCAACTACATCAGACGTCTTTCCATCAAAAGAACAAGTCGCTATTATTGAGTCAGAAGGGTTATCCATAAAATATTATATTAGTAAAATTGCAAAGATTGTAAATGCCACAGATAGTAGATTTAGATCCCGCATGTCAAATAACAGAATTTATAAATGTTTTGCCAATCAAGCAATCACTGACAGATTCATAGAACATAATCCAACAATAGAAACATATCGAGAAACTACCTGAACCGCCCTGAACATACAGAGAAACTATCAACCTCCACCTTAATATACCATGATAACGTATCATACAGGATATTATTCACTAAAGACATCATGTCATACTTCATCTGTAAAGACAATGGTCATATTGCAAAATCAATATCCACCAAAGCCCCTAAATAATAATGAAACTGAAGAACTTAACACACACTGTCATCAATAATTCAATAGCTGATAATACATCTTTATTACATCAATTAGAATATCAATATGAAGCTCCTTTATTCAATAACCAATAGTTCCCAACTCTTCAGAAGAGAGTCCACCCCACTGATTCATCAACGCACATTTTAATGAATGCAGACAGATTTGAACAACAAAAAGCTCAACCAACAAAGAAGAAGAAACCAGAAAAAGATGAACCACATAAAACTCAAGACATCACACAAAACAAAAAAGTAGAAGAACAAATTGCACCAATCAAAAGCACCATAGATAATAGTCAAGACAAATTTCCACTAAATTACCAACAATTTTTATTATTTTTCGATAATAGTTTTGGTGCCAAGGATGTCTCAATTGTAGCCAAAAAATTCACCAATGACACAAGCTATAGTATTGGTGAAAGAAACTTATCCTCTTCTTACAGACAGAGCAACAAAAAATAGATTCACTAGAATAATAGGCAGACTTAACAAAGCAATTCTTCTAACATACGGTTAGAGATATAGTTACAGAATAAACGTATACAGGTACTGATACTACCTCTCTTCTTACTACCTCTATGGATACTACAGATGAACCGGTGTAACCAAGATTAGTATATAGTCTATTAAGCCATCTTCCTTTTCATTTTCTCACATAAATAATAAATACAAATTCAAACAATATTTTCAACATAATTCAATGAAACACAATGGATCTGAATAATTAAAGTTACTTCAAAATAACTATACTCCAGCAGTAATGTCTCTAGGAAACCAACCTGAAAAGCAATCGAACTCCTCAACTAAAAGATTACAACTGCTATCAAACAAACCGTTCAAATTTTGTACATGAAAGTGGAGGAGTTGCCATCCCGATTAAAAATAACTTAAAGCCGAAACAATTACCTTGCAATCAAATTATGAAGTCATTGCTATCAAAACAAACCTCCCTTATAATACCAATATACGTAATATTTATTTACCAAATAGCCATCCCATAATACAAGATGTTGAAAACCTGATCAAACATCTACCCAAGCCATTTATCGTTGTCTTCAATAGCCACATAAATGTATGGGAATCTAACCATACCTTAAAAGAGGTAAGATTATTGAACAAATTCTAGAAGATTCTGAAATGATGGATCCTCAACATACTTTTCAGCAAGATCCGGCCTTCAAAGTGCTATCGGCCTATCAATCTGTAGCACTTCCATCGTTTGTAACATACAATGGTGTTCAATAGATTGTTTGTATGGTAGTGACCATTGCCCAATACTAATGACATTGGTCTCTATCAGCTGACTACTAGCCAAGAACAACTATATCAACTTATTATATGGCAATTTAACATTACTGATCATACAAAAATAATATGTTACCAAATTAAAAGTCTTGATCCGGTACCAACCAATAATAAGTAATTAATTCACCAAATATTACAAATAGTATATGTCAAGGTGCAGATACTAACCTATCTAGAGTAAAATTTCAATATAATTCAGTG